TAGAGCCAGTTTTTGTCGCAACAAGGCTCACAAAGACAAAGAACCAACAGTCTAAAAATCACATTGAGGCTTAAAGCCAGTTTTTTTACCAACAAGGCTCACAAAGACAAAGAACCAAGAGTAACCCAAAAAGAATGGAAAGCACCTGACTCACAAAGAGCACAGAAGAAGGGAAACAAAGCAAACCATTAGTGAACTTGGCGAATCGTCTCTTGGGAAAGACAGCTGTCCGGCATCGAACAAAACCTGCACGTCGCGACCGCGCCCGCTCGCTCCGCTTTCCGTTGCTTGCCGGACTGGTTTGCAGCCAAAGCACTTGCAAAGACAACATCAAGATGCCAAAACGCAGCTTTCGCTCGAGACTTCCTCCGATTTCAAGTCACGATTCACTGCACCTCAAGAATACAAAGCACGCCGAAGATCACTGTGCCTGCCACAAAATCTGTACATCGACATAAAGCCACTCCAATCTCCTGCACCTGTCAGGAAAAGTCAACTTTGGACCACCAAAAAACAAGGCTTCTCTTGCGCCTGTTACGAAACACGACTACCAAGCCCGAAAATGCGCACGGCACCCCAATGTTGCACTTGAATATCATACATAACTATTGCATTTGCAAAAAAAAAGATGGAGGACAATTCCAAGCGAAGTTCTTGGTGAATAGATTTAAAGGGTTGTACAATGTTGTACATGCTTGAACTGAAACCTATCCATTCAGGGATGCATATTGAATCTCATCAGCTACCAACTACTCTGGCACTGTGCGTAAACAAAACAAATTGGTTCTAGTATCATCTTCTACATTCTTCTACCGTATAAGCCTGACTTGTACAACATGCTTGAGAAGCTCAGTCGGACCCAGTGGCCTCTGATCCATCTGAGCCTCATACCTCAGAGCACCGAAGGTCGCTCCAGGGGCAGTCATTGGAACGTTGTCCAGAGGCTCGGGGGGTTGAATCAGATCCATCCATCTTGTTGAAAGGAAGTCATCAAGGAATAACATGTTTGGGATTGTTCGAGATTGCTCAGGACTGGAATCCGGAATGTTCACCAATCGGAATTTTCAGCAGTTCTCAGTTCTCAGGAGTCGAAAGGCTTTGTGCCTTGAACATTTGGATTTCTGCCTTGGACGTGCACTTTACAAAATGTGATTCGTTCCTTTGGACTGAACAAGTCCGAAAGTCCGCATGCAGCCTCATTGCCATCCTCCTAAATGGTTTCCTCACTAGAGATGTCGGTATCCGCCTTGCTTTCCTCATCTCTCATGGCTTGGCCAAAATCGACATCTTCGGTGACTTCGACCACACCTTTCACTGTGTAGTAGGTCAGGTAGTGTACGACCTCTGCAGCCACCAAAAGCCACTGACCCGGTCCCATCGTGACAATCACATATTCCCGGTACATGGAGAAGCAAAGTGTCACGACGAGAACACCTCGGCCCAACTTCAAGTTGAAAGGTGTCACCGGTGTGACCCATGCGCCGCATATATTGCGACATCAAGATTCTATGATTCTGGACTTCAAACAGCAACAGCGAGTGACACTGAACAGTTTTTGTTTGCACAGTTACAGATTTTGATATGATGTTGATGTGCAACATCTCAATCGCTGGAGTGACTATGCCGTGAAACCACCAGTTTGACATGATTGGAGTGCTCCATGATCATCCTTGCTACTGGATGCTGACGGCTCGTGGGCCATTGTACGAGGGACCCTGGAAACACATCCACTCCAGCTTACAAGGGGAGAGGGGAGAAACTCAACAATAAACAATGAACAGGGTGCTGAAATGGATGAAGAGATGTGTTTCTGGGCCATTGGGCGGAGAAAACGGACGAGGCACCCATGCACATGACATCCACCATGGAAAGCTTCTTGACGAACCACGCAAATTTCATGTAGCGCGTAGCAGGCACCTCTTGGTAGGTGGCGATCGCAGCGCACATGAGAGCTAACATATCCACCAGGGTCATTCCAATCACGAAGACAACGAACATGATAAAGCCAACGAGGCTCGTGACCTTGCCCTCACCGGTCTCTTTGGCCAAGCCATGGATGAGGTTAAAGACATTGACTGACGACTCTAAATCTTCTGTCTTCAGCCCCAAATACTTCAGAACCAGTGTAATAAAGGGTGGAAGGGACTTGGCGACTTCCAAGGACATCACGGTCTGTGAAAGCCCGCAAAAGAACAAAACATAGAAGGCCAGTGAGAGAGCCGTTGCCACATAGAGCACCCGACTCGGACCCACCCTGAGGGCATCGAGGTGGCTCGGCGACGCGGCGGAACCGGACGGTGCATGCGGACGGATCAGGGCTCAGCCGTTGAAGCGTCTATCAAACCGTGCCAAAAAGGCCAAAAACAGAGTTGGAACCTATCCAGGGTGTGGAGCTAGGAGGCACTTCTGATAACAGATTGTTCAGATGAATCCTGAGGTTGTTCCAATGGTTAAACCAATTTTGGACGCACACACATATATATATATATACACAACTGGCGGTCCGTGATTTCCGTGCCCCTATACAGGTCGTATACACCCCTAGGACATGACCGGGTATGTGAGGTAGGGTGACAATACTATTGTAGATCATCAAGAAAGGACTGCCCTGAACCGTTTTTGGGCCCAAAAAGGAATCGCAAGCCCTCTTGTTCACGAGTTGCAGCTGAGGTAGAAAAAACACATACTACACTGAAACCCCGCAACAAAAAAAGATATATTAATATATACGTCAAAGAAATCCTTCATAATCTAGCCCAAGCCACATTCTGCCCAAAGCCTGGAAACAGAAATGCTCCCGGTCACTGACACGAATCCCCAACGATGCCACCGTCGATCCGATGCAGAAGAGGCTGAAGAAGGTGAAGCCGATGTCCTGGCGACGTCCATGTCCACGCACGACGCGTTCGTTCGGGAACGAACGGACCCTGGTGTCGATTCGGACCGGGTCTCCCGAACGGGCCAGGAGGAGCACGGCTGGTGAAGCAGGGCAGATCCAGGAGGATCCAGGAGTCCAAATCGATTCCAAACGTCGGAGACATCACCTTACCTATCGGACCTGGAGGCCTGCCCTTGGGGCTATCCTTTTAGAACCACATCACATCTGTTTGGAATTGTTTTCATCGGGAAAAATGGGCTTTTGCTTCTCAGATCGTCCCGCCGAACAATGTAAGTAATGACGAACTGAGGTGAACAGTGCCTGAAAGGACTGTGAACTGGATGACCTAGCACTGTGTGACCTTCTTTTGGATCAAACATTATTACCCAAACATTGTTGAACTTAACAGTGACTTCTTTGTTTGGGGATTAGTATAATATATCATATCGGTCCATATACCATACATATTTATATACAGCATACTTCAACCATTGTAATCTACAACCATCTACCAGTACAACCTAATCAGAAAAAAATGTGTTGTTGTTGTTGTTGTTGTTGTTGTTGTTGTTTCAAATATTTTTCCTTCGCCGACTTCCACCCAATTTTGACGTCACCGAGTCTCCAATCGCCCATTGGCTTTGAAGTAGGGCGGCACCGTGAGGGATCTCACCAGATGCATTAGGATAATGTAGGCGAACATGTCCGGACATGCCCACTTTGAGATGTTCTGAACCATCTGAATACACCTGCGGGAGGCCGTGCGATGTGTGCCACAGCGCTCCAACTGCAAGGTGTTGCCAAAAAAGGTCAAGAGCAACTTGATGATGGGAATCACGATGGCATAGATAATCACCTTCGATTGGAAGGAACTATATGAACATATATGAACATCTCCAAATTTGAAAGCAACAACTACACTAGAGGGACCTCAAATAAAGGACCATCAAAAACAACAGTACAATTCTATAACCCATAAAAAAGCCACATACCGTTCATGACCAAGTCCAAGCATCGCACACGGTCACCCACCACTCCAAGCATCGGACATGTGACCTAGCCCTGACTCACTAGGAATAAGACAACAAAGCCGCTTTCCCAGTGAGTCCTTAAACCTTTTGCGCACAGGGTGTGAAGATTGACATACTGTATGTTGATTTATATGGTGGTTGTTTTAGCATAGATGTTGCAAATGTTTCATGCATAACACCTTGTTTGGATTCATCTCTAAATATCACACAATTTGATGTCATTTCAGGCTCACAAGTGAGGTAAGATCTGCTCTGACATCGATTTGATACCTTTGGTCCTTAGGCCTGTGCCGGTGGTTCGCTCCCCCCGACCGTGTCGTTCGCTCGCGAAGGCTCCAGTCACTAAGGCTGCTCCCAACTGGCCCCCAGTGTCGCTGAGCAAATGGATCAACCCCAGCATCGTCTCGGTGGTGGGTGGAGCGTGGTTGATGTTCCCACCCGGTCCGATGCCAAAATACCCGCGGCTGCCCATGTCGAAGACGATGTTGAAGCCTCAGATAGTCACAACCAGTAACAAGAAGCTACTAGGAACAAAGGGCATCGCTACTAGCAGCAAGGACGCTACTAGTAGCTCCTGGCCTTACTACTATAGGAACAAGAAGCTACTATCCTATGGAGCCCACGGAGACGGAAGCCAGTCGCACCCAATCGTACAAGTGGGAGGGAATGCCTAGAACGGCCTCAAGCAGGTCAGGAACTGGAATGAACCAGCTGAGCGGTCTGCTTCCCAGCGCTGCTACACCCAAACCATGTGAAAGCTCATCTGATTGCAAGTCTCCTTCCCTTTCCAAAAGGATTCATTTTGCTTTTGGAAGAACGGAACAACTCTCGACTTGAGATGTTTCATATGTGTCAGCCCTGCACTCCTGGTCAGAGAAAAATGGACTTCGAATGACTTAGAATATCAACCTACCATGCTACTGGTGTGTTTGTTTTTCGGCCCCATGTGCAACAAAGAAAGTACACAACATGCTCGGCAATGCCGAAAAGCTGAAGAGCACCTCAACAAGTCCTGGGATCAAATATCCATAACTCAGAAGCATCAGCAGCCATACCCACAAAGGTTCCCTGCTCTTTTCGCAATACCTTCGGCTGCAGGATTTTTCTTTCGAGCCTAGATCCATGGTTGACTTTTGCAGTACCCAAGTCCAGAAAACATGGAAGACTCAGTCCCGGACCCTAACTAAACATACACACATATGCACACAGTGGTTTCAGAGTTGATGGCACAAGTTACCCCAAGTTGGGTGGTTTGAATGGGTTCAGTAGAAATATACACACATATACACACATTATACAAATATAACCAAATCTCATGGCATCTTATTATGCACCCCTATGGATGGTTATGCAAATATATTATTGTAATCATATTGTACATAATACCTCCAATGGGAGCCCCATGGAAGCCCGCAAGTAGTGTGCAAGTAGTGCAGGGGAGTCCAGCCAGCACACCCAAACAGTATGGTCCTGGTATATTAGCATGTGTATTCTTGACAACAAAACAACAAACATCTGTGCACCTTTCCTTTTTCTTGGTCAAACAAACAATCGTGGCCGTCATGTCAAACACAAAGCAGCTATCCCCCGCACCTTTTGCAAAGTGTGCAGTCCAGGATTGCTCCAATGACTGGCACCAAGATCATTCCTGCTATCAATGCTGCGCTGATCTGATTGATTTCCTCAATATCATGCCCATCCAAATAGCCGACTGGCTGTTCTTCATCGGCCATTGTGCGTTGGACTTCGTGACTTCGCAGAGTTCGCGTGCGGAGAGCAATGACAAAATACTTGCGTTGGGATCGATAGAGGGAAATGTCTGTTAATATGCTTGTTGTCTTGATGATTGAACCGTAGTTTACCAAATTGACACAATTCACCCATTTAGTTTCTTTTGAGGGTGAACACAAAATACATCCTACATCAAACTACTCATCAATCTATATATGTCAATCATTGATCAGCCCAAACTGTGCTGCATTACCAACGTGTACAACTTGCTCGATGATCTCGATGTTTCTGCAGGGAGGCTCAGGGTCTAAATTATTCGATCCACCCAGAGCCCATGAGACAAACAAGATACTGCAAAACCCCACCTTTCTGGTCTAACATTCAACCAATGACCAATGAGTGCCGAATTATTGGTGGAAGTGGATCTGCCACTTGCACTGCCCAAACAAAGCTTGCTACAAGAACATTTTCCCAAATATCCAAATTCTGCATTGAACTCTGCCTGAGTCTTCTTTGCAGATTCATTGGGATGTTTTCTTTTGCTTCCGGCCAAACGGCGCGGAGACAAAGTGGAAAATGTCTGGAGGCCTAAATGTCCTGTATAGGTACTGCTTGTGTCTCAAGCTTAAGGATGTATACAGGGTGCTGCACTCCACGTCGATGTCTTTTTATCGTCCATGTCGGTGCCTTCCACCATCCAACCAACTCTTCCAGCCGGCCAGGTGCAAGTGGTTGACCGATCCGTTCAGGTTCACCCAACTTTCCATCTGAACATCGAACGACCGTGGAGTGATCCAACTACTTTTCCCCCTAAGAAGGTGCAGGTGATCCAGCCACTTGCGTTGGACTTCCTTGACGGTAGGCTGAACCCCACTGATGCCGGGATCAAAATAAAAATAAAAATAGAATCAAAAAATATATATTCAACGGGGATCAAAAAAATAAATAAAAAGGTAATCAAAAAAAAATAAAAAAATATTCTAGCCCACTGAGGATGGTTGGGGTAGTAGAGGAGAGTGTACCTCCCCAGGAGCTCCCTCCTAGTAGGGAGCTATTTCCACTGGTGAACCATTTTTCGAGTAGGGCTACTCAATGACTGGACGGCAACCTTATCGTTGGGTACCTACTTTCTTCCCAGGGAGCTGCCTCTAGTAGAAAGCAATCAAGCCTCTATTTGCGCAAGCAGGGGACCAGGAGATCGACAGACGAGCGCCGTAGGAGAGCAAAAGACCAGCGGACCAGGAGACAGAAGGACTAGGATACCAGGCCAGGAGACCGGAGGACTAGGGGACCAGTGGACTAAAGGACCAAGGGACCAGGGGACCAAAGGACCAGTGGACCAGAGGACCAAGGGACCACATTACCAGAGGACCCGCAGACCACAAGGCCAGGAGAGCAGCAGAAGAGGCCTATCAAGGAATATTTTTTTTTTTTGATTCGCTTTTTATTTTTTTGTTGATCCTGTTTTTATTCTTTTTTGATGCTCTTTTTATTTTTTTTTGATACCTATGCATCTTTTTCGAGCAACCCCCATCTTTTCGACGGCTTGGTTTCCAAAAAGTTCCACTTTTCATGATTCATGCCCAGGTGGCTGTTGCCGTTGAAGCTCGTTTGCCTCCTCGTGCTGATGGACTTGCTGTTGAAGCTCTAAAGCCTTGACCGGGAGCGAGAAAGGAACAAAGAAAACCTGTCAAACTCCGAATCATTTCCATACCCAAACACTCCATGTATGTCATATATGCCTACATTGACCCCTCAATCCACCCCAATGTAGGCATATATGGCAGTCCCATGGAGTGTCCGGGATAGGATTCACGGTGGTTCAGGTTTACCTCCTCAGGACCAACAGAAGGGCGGGCCCAAGGTGGGTTGGGAGGAGGGTCCAACTACCTTCTGAGCAAGTGCTTTTGCAGAAACATTCAGGATTCCTCCAGCTTCCTCTCCTCACTCTCCCCATACCCACCGGCACCTCTCGCCCCAGGTCTGCGCCAGGTCCCCCCTTTCGGACCGCCTGGCGCTCCAGGTCGTCGCCCCGGTGGCCACTGAGCTCCATGGCCCGCTCCGCGGCCAGCAGCGCCGATTCCATGCGTGTGGCCCGCTGGCAGGACTGGCGAGGCTCGGGCGACGTCGGTCAGGTCCCACCGGACCATACAGGTACATTTTACCGGGATGGTGGAACTTGGGGAGGTCAAAGCACCTCTTGCCGAACTTGCAGAACTTGTTGTGAAAGGCTCATGAAGCTGGCCCGAACTGGCTTTCTTGGTATCCAGGATGGTTGTGCCTTTGCCAAGGGCTCCAAGGTTCTGAAGAAGGGTCTTTGGCGTTGATACTGGCAATTCGTGAGAAAAACAAGAACAGTAGTAATATGTAGTAATATTTGCGATGCTTCCAACTTTCCACTCAGTCACCATTAGTGTTCTTGTGACTAGTCTTTTTTGCAATATGAAAACACAAGCTAAATCGACTCCCAATCCAGCTACGCTACTTGCCAAGTGGGCACCAAAAACTGATTGCTCAACAGTTCTATAGATGAAAGCTACGAACACACAGAAACATCTGAGTGTGTACCAACGATGGGGTTCAGGTACTTCCGCCTGTGAATGGTGAGAGCAGTGAGAGCCTGTAGGCAGGCCTATCACAACTGTGCCGCAGTTATTCTGGGCCTACCATACCTTACCAATAGTCTTCAAGGTGAAGAGTGGTCTGACTGGGGCGCAGCCAAAGCCATCCAATGCCAACATGTTCCTGGACCCTTTTAATAGGCCCCTAAGAAGGTCTTATTTTCCGACGCAGCCCCTTTTCCCCTCCCCCGTCCCCAACATGAAACCCCTCCTCCAAACCCAAGAACCGAACCCACTTAACCCGCGGTGCTCCGGAACAGGCCGCCTGCTCCGAGAAGACATAGAGATGCGAGGACAGGGTGTGGAGCTCTCGCAGGTCCTCAGAGGTGCTCCGCGAATTGATCGACGTCAGTATGGCTCTGGGGTCGTTGGTGGTTACCAAAGGCGTCCTCGGTGCTTTTTGTGGGATCTTTTCGGACAGTGGGGCGCACACAGGTCTGATAGTTCTGGCAACGCTGCAGCGGATTTTGTTTGTTGTTGTTGTTGTTGTTGTTGTTGTTGTTGTTGTTGTTGAGACAGGGACTCTGTGAGACAACCATAGTCAATCGATTTGTATGAAGGGTTGATGCATCTGGGAGTTGTTGTTGCTTACCAAGTTTCCCATTTATTTGGAGCACCGCTGCAAACAAATGGGGAGGATAGGAGAGGTGAGCGAATCATCTTGGTAACTTTGTGTGATCTCGAAATACATACTCTCCACCAATAATCATCCAACAAACAATATATTGTACAAAAAAGACAAGTATAACATATTACTAATTGCAGTAAATATGACAACATTGCCACTTGGACAAAACCCTGGATTCCTCTGACGCACCAGTTCATGGAGCTTAGAAGTGCCTCTTGGATGGGTCTTTTCACTGCTTTTCAGCTGCATCCAGGACACCTGTTCCTTCCTTCGGAGCTCCTCTGAAACGCGTTGATACTCGGCATGCTTGAGACCCCTCCAAGCATTGAAGATCTGGCCGGATTAACAGCTGCGATGGTGCCCCAAGGCCCCACAGAGCTGGGCTGCGATGGTGCCCGGTTGATCGTCTTTTGAGGAACTCATGACATTACATATGAGACTTGAATGCTTTTAGCTCCATGGTTTACTGGGTTTTTTGTGACTTTAAGCCCGACTTCCAAATTTCCATGCATACCCAATTTTGTCGTAGCTACTCAATGTTACTCACACCAACTCAGTGAGAGACAGGTCAATGGTCTCCAAGAGATCACACAGAACATCGGAATCACAAGGCAACCATGGATTTGGCACCTCAGCACACCTCACAGATGCATCTCTGTTCCATACCACTTGGTCTTCACAACCCCTGTGACAAACCAAACATGAATCAGAGTTGAGAACTTCCGCTTCACCTCCAAATCCCTGGAACCCACATGGCATAGACTCATTCATGGGATATATTTTTGACCCCCAGAACAACACGGATCATCTGAGGGCCCATTCTCGTCTTCAAACCGTGTTTGTCCATGCAACATGTTGTGCCTTCTCCATGGTTTCAGAGCTCACACCATAGAACCACTGTGCAGCCAAACGCCTCCGTGTTCGGTCTTGCTTCACCTTGGAGCTGAAGAAACTCCGATGGGTGGAGAAACCGAAGCCCCTTGAAGTGGATCCCATCCAGTCATCCATGCTCTCATCGGACCATAGAGAAAATGGGTTGTTCATGGGGATGATCCTGGCAGTGTTGTTGATACTTGTTCACCTGAAGGCGGTGTTTTGGTGTTTTGCCACCTGAACGCTTCCACAGGACCCTGTAAAACACCCTGTAAACTGGAGATGTTTAAAACCGTGCTGTTTCCACAAACACGATTCGATTGAACATGTTGATTCATGTTGATCCTTCATGGGCCCTGATTGCAACCAAAGGGAAGAATCTTCTCCCGAAATTTAAACTGCACAGAAACCAGCAGGGACTTTCTGGTGCACGTCCTGGCCAACGAAGCCCGGCACCAGGGAGGTGCAAACGTACCTGTTTCAGGTGTGATCTGTTTAAACTATTACTATATTGTTGCCAACCTTTCACCTTACCGTTGTGCTCAGGGCCATTGACAGGTTAAGGTTCAGCGCTTTAGACTGGCATTCAGTAACTAGATTGGGAACTCGCCAGCTGACACTTGCTCTTGCGAGCCATCTATCTAAGTGTTTGTGATTGTGTTTGTGTGGTTGTGTTTTGTGGCTGTGTGTGTGATTGTGTGTTTGTGGTTGTGTGATTGTGGTTGTGTGTTGGTGGTTGTGTGATTGTGATTGTGTGTGTGTGATTTTGTGTTTGTGGTTGTGCGTTGTGGCAGTGTGTTTGTCATTGTGTTTGTGCGTTTGTAGTTGTGTTTAAAGTTGCGTTTGTGATTGTGTGGTTGTGTTTGTGGTCGTGTTTGTGGTCGTGTTTGTGGTCGTGTGTTTGTAGTTGTGTGTTTGTGTTTGTGTTTGTTATTGCGTGTTTGTCGTTGTGTTTTTGGTTGTGTTTTCTTGATTGTGGTTGTGTGTTTGGTTGTGTGTTTGTAATTGTATGTTGTTGGTTCTGTGTTGTGTGTTGAAGTCCGGTACTACCCACTGCAATCTGACCAGAATCCGAATTTGCTAGTTCCAAAGCAGGTCCGAGCAGCTTTCCAATTATATCTATTATATTGTGTCTTGTTGAATATATACATGTACACAATATATTGTAGTGTGCATAGACCTATATTTACTTTCGTAGGTATCTTATGACTTTTATCTATTCCGCTATAGTAGCCATTTGATTTTATAAACAGCACTCTGGCCGGATCTAGATTTGTAGGGTTGCCGCCTGGGCTTCAGCCTTGGAATGCTCGGTTGCATGAGCAGCTTAGCCAGGTCTGCTGACTGCTTGAGTTGCTTCCAGGACATTCCAGGACATGGTCGACCTGCTCAGAGGGCAGTGGAGGTTTCTGCCTGGACATCCGAGTGGCAAGTTGCCCCACCTGTGTGGAGAGAGGACTTCCCCCAAGTACAGCTCCACGAAGACAGAACAGTTGGTTCGGAAAGGGTGGCACTGCTGGTGACGGCATTGATGGCCGCGGTGGCGATGGCTGAAGGAACCACATTTGCAGAAGGGTTAGCAGCATTGACGTTCAAGTCCATTCCGAGCACGGCCCTCTTGATAGCCGATAGGTTGGGTGGTCCCCATTGAAGGCTTTGGGATCACTGGGCCTTTCCTCCTGCATCTGAAGCTCGACCCAACACATCCCTGTCCCATGCGGCACGTACTGGGGCTCCGTCTCGCCCAGCTGCGATGTGCCCACGTACACATAGTGCATGAACCGGTGGGTGGATGGAGCACCATACGACAGCCCTTGGCTTATGTGGAAGAGTACGAGTATGGTGTATAGTGCTGGCGGTGTTGCTAGGCTCAACAGCTTGGTCTTCTGCTGTTCTGTAGGGACACATTGCCCTGGCTGACCCACCTTTGCAGGCAATTGCGGCTCGTCCACATGGCAGCTCTCGTCGCAGCGCGCCTCTTCCGGGTGCTGCTGGTGGTGGCACCGAGAGTGGTGGTGGAACCACCTCAGCCGTGAAGCTCACGTGACTGCGGAGCTCTTCAAGTTGAACATGCGCAGCACGAAGCACGAAGGCACAACGCTCATCACGTTTACTAGACAATATTTGTCGACCACTAGACGACAGAAATTCAGCAGCTCATGTGTTGCAACAAGTTCCTTTTAAAGGGGTGGCGACCTTGGAGAGGTCCGAGACTGCCCAGTGCGATCTAGCGCCTGCTGTTGAGATCCGGAAGGAAGGCAGGCAGGCAGGGAGGCAGGAAGGCAGGAAGGCAGCGGGCAGGAAGGAAGGAAGGAAGGAAGGAAGGAGACTATCTTTAAAAACTAACAACCCTCAAGTGACAGGTGGGGAAAAACAATACATTAAGATTCATGAAACAATAATGTTGTCTTTCGGATGTTTACACTGGATGTGTCTTGTTTCTGCTACACTAAAAAATGTCTCCACTTTGAAGGAACACCGTGTTTTGTTTCGACCGTGCCACCTTCCCTCGCTTTTCCTCTGACCAGTAGCCATGGTGACCCAGGCCTGAAAGTGGGGCTTCGCAAACGTCACGCCCACCTGGCGGCAGCCGCCGAGGGCGGAGGCAGGCTGTGGAGCAAGTGAGTGAGTTTTTCTCTCAGGCTCTGTGTTTCTTTATAAGTTTTCGAGAAATCTTTATGGAGGTCCCAGAACTTCAGCGTCCAGGTACTTGGATGAGGCATGGGTCCTATAGAATACCGCTTGCAGTGCATGGGAACATGGAGAAGTCCACATGATTGGGAACAAGTCCGGCAAACGGCTCTTTTCGCGGCTCTGCCGAGCGGCTGCCTATTAAACATACGTATAATAAAAGGTATCCTTAGCCTATAGCTATATAGTCAGCAAAAGCAAACATCCAGTGAAACAACGTTCCCCCCTCCCTCAAAGCATTCTCACACATTTGCAGGATCCGAAAAAGCACAAGGTGGTATAACTGGTCAGTATATAGTTATGCTGTTGTGCTAATACAGGTTAATTTGACTAGTTAGCCCGCTCTACTAATCAGACCACATGCTCCCCACATTGAACCCCCCCCCGGTCCTTTCGCGCTCCGCCTGACCAAAGGCCTCGGAGAGTTTCAAGGTTTGCTGCGCCCGGGCCAGTCGAGCCTACAAGCGGAGCTGATGAGCTGTTGACGAGCCGGTGGAGGGTTGAACATCTGTCACCTTCCCTAAGCCGAAAAAACAAAACATACACTATCATACACTCCACAAATGGAATATACATGCTGCGCCATTTGACCTCTGAAATCAACCAAAGAAATGCAAGAACATACCAGTATGCTGAAGATTGAGTATCTGGGAAAAAATGGATGAACGTTATTTGGCATCTATATAGTTGTACCACAAATTGATCCACCCAGCTCATAGCACAGATAAATGTTCCAATGAGTTGGAGTGCACAGTTTTGATTTGGTCCTGCCAATCCCCAAGGTATACACTCCCACTGTGAAGGCTCAGCCTAATTCAAGGCGAGCGGCTCGGCCACACACCAAGGCCCTAGGCCCGAATTAGGCCAAGTGTTGTGAACATGACGGGTCTTCCTTTAGCCAGCCAAACACCCCCAAGTCTCCGGCCCATGCTGCCAATACGATACACAACCACAAACGCGGGCCTCGGACCTTTGACCTTTGATGCAAAGATAATTGGACTGTTTTGTTTCACCAAAATCAAAATTCACAGTGCTTCAATTACCCACATATCCATGAGTTGTAGGGGCTTTTGGTGGCTTGCAGATCTTCAGATCGCTTATATACGTATATAGGCGGCCTTAGTATCATTCAATGTTCCCAGCAAAGCGTAGATTTACATGGCACGAACTCGCAGTTATTCATTGTCAAGAATGTGACCAGCGGGGACTTTTTAATATTCAGTGTAAGGGATTTGTTTGCCAGGTGAGCCCCTTGCTCCTTTTCCGCCTGCACAACAATTCACCTTTATCGTCTTGATGTTCTAATTCCAAGCAAACATGGACAGGAAAGGATCACCTGTTGTTCCCTTCAGCACAAAATAACACAAGGATTGCCTTTCCATGTGCATCCGTTTTGTGTTATTTGTTTATCTTTATATAAGTATCCTTTCTCAAAACCATTCCTACACCAAAGTCCCTGGAAGTTGTTCTGGAACTGATACCAACTTAAACTCCCCCTAGTTGTTTGCCAGGACAATTCCATGTTGAATCAGCAAGACTCGATCAGACTGGATCCTCAAGTCCAGCATTCCACTAAAGTATTTCATAGTATTTCATGATCTCCCCTTCTGTCTTCCAACCCCCCCAACCAACCTCCGAAAAGTTCCCCGCCACGCCCCGTGCGAACCGCGTGCGCCCAGCTCCGGCCTGCAGCGCAAAGTGTTGGTCGGCCCGCTGCAGCTGGGCGGCCCAACGCCAGGCACCCAGCACCTGGTCGCCGTGGAACATCACTTTGGGCGGAACTGGACCACGCATTGCGGAAGCGTGACGGGACCGTTCCGCGCGTGATGTGAAGTTGGGGATGGTTGTTCCAAGTGCTGATGGTGAGAAGTTGCTCCATTCAATGCAGGGAAGGGAAGATGCCTGTAGTTCAATGCGTTCTTCCATGTTTGGTTCAAATCAGGGATTGTATCCCTTTGTATCCCGGGTTTCTTCTCGTCAACAAATACACACAGGTTGATCGAATCTCGAGACAGGTCACGACCTACTCGTGTGGCGGTCTGCGGGCGACCGCCTGGTCGGAAAACCCGACTGGTGGACTGGTCGGGTGAACATGGTGGGGTCAACCGGAGTCATGGACTCGTGGTGGGTCACTTCTACCTTCTCTCCTGTGCCAACGAATCAGTCATGTCCTCTTTGGAGTGTGTTCCCTCAGCCTCCACCCATCCACCTTCCCACGTGCTCATCGGATCGACCAACAAACACAACCACATGAAGAACAAACCATTGACATTTTTCATCAGAACATATCAAACCTCCTCACGTCGACCCAACGATTCGTGGACGATGAACTGGATCACCAAATCCAACTGCTGAGTCTTCAGCTTCAGAACGGCCAGTGACTCACTTTATGGGGTTCACACTTGCAAGCGACCTGATGATGTTGCCCACCACTGGTCTTCACTGACAGGGGCTGTTCTCTGTCGGTTTTTCCCGTGGCAGGTTCAAGTGCTCCTGCTTAGTTTAAGACTCATTTAGACTCCAATGGTGAGCGAATCTGTCAAATTATTTCCTGGATGCAGTGATTCCCCAAACGTTGGCTGTGGCTCATATGTTGTACTGGCAGGCCATGGCCTACACGGCCTACACGTCCGGCAAAGGAAATGGGCTGACCGGACCAACAAGTCAGCAAACAAACAGGTTTTTGTTGCCATGTTACATGTTTAATGGTTTAATGTGTTTTCTTGCTTCAAAAGAGATCCGCAGATATCTGCAGAATCTGTTTAATCTTAGAGGTCCAGGCCTTTCTGCCCAAGGAGCCCAAGTGCACCAAAGATCCACCTCCATGTAAAACATCTCCTCCAAGCGCTCCTGCATACGGGGCGCTTGCCCGGGGCTCGGATGGACCCATGTCCCCGGCATCGCATGAAGAAACTGACAGGTCTTTCTGCAAGCATGTCTTTCTGCATTCCAAACAACAAACCTGTCTTTCGGCACCACAAAATGCAAACCTGTGACGACACTCTGTGTTTCTTGTATCCTTTTGACATCGTTCAATGTAATGGATAAGCTCCAACTCCAACAGCATGTTCTATTTACAAACCCGGTCAACCACCAGTTTAGTTAGGATTGAATCACCAAAAAGTCTTTTTCAATTGCCGGCTCCTTCATCTTATCCGTGCGCCATTCTGCCTGGCCGTGGTGCTCACACCCGACCGAATCACATCACCCTTCTTCCCGCGGCAGAAGTTTGTTCCAAGATATTCCAATGGGACGAGTCACCCGAACCCGAGAGAGAACACCTATGGGCCAGGGGGGCCCAAATGCTCAAACTTGGCAGTTCGAGCGAGCCTTTCCTTTCTCGATCTTCCTCTCATACGTTTGGAGTTCGTTAAATCAACACCGACCTCCCGGCCACTGCAACCCGTTGTCTGCAACCGCCCCAAAATATGTACCTGGAAGATCCGACTGATGCTACATCCACGACCAGTGAACACAGAGCTGAGATCGGAGTGTGTCTGGGCCTGTCTGGGGGTATATGATGAACCCCGCCAATCCAGCTAGTGGTTACCATGTCAGTTTCGAGAAAACGGCACCCCACAGCCGGAACAAACACAGGGATTCTGCAAACTACACTGATTGAAGATGTTGCTTGGAGTCACCGAGTAAGCGTCCTTCCAACTGACAAACTCAGTCTGGCTGAGGCTGGCACAGTTGGGTTTGAATGGTGAAGTTCATCGAACATGGGGTACCATCCCCCAACAACTTGCCAACGACTTAACCAGAAAATGTTGGACAACAGCTAGTTGGTCCTTATTTCCAAGCTGTTAGCCCAAATCCATATTCCCTTGGAGGATCTTGCAGGTGTATATATATATATATATACACGTTCATCCTTGAGTGCTCCTTTCCCTATCTAAGTCCTCATCCTTGTGGTTTTACTTGGTCAGTGCATCTCACTGACTTGGTCAAAGCACCGAGTCAGATCCACTTGACAACCTGGACCTCGGCCCATGAACAGGCCGTGTTTTAGATGGTTGCATCAAGAGTCAAACAGCCCGGTTCTTCAGTCCGTGACCGACCGACTGATACGAGCCTCCTGGTAGGTCAGGAGATGTCGGGAGTCGGAACTCCGGTTACGAAGTGAAGCAAATCACTTGCGGACTGGTCTGTGGCACCTCACAGCCCTTCCAGAAATGCATCATACATCTGGGGTAAGGTGGTCATAGGCAGTCATAGTGCGCCAAATGATGTACCAGGCTCCAACCTTCGACCTCCCAAGATGGGCGCCCCAAGAGGTGGGGCTACCAAACCTCGAGAAGGTGGCCCTACAGGCGGAAAAAGACTTCGGCCACGCAAAGACTTCGGTCGTTGGACTTCGGACCATCCAGTGGGTCGGACATGATCACCGAGTCTTGTTGCGGCCGGTGTTTCTTGCCAAGACAACCCAAGGAGGTCATTTCGATGATTTCGATGGTTTATAGAGTTTGTTCCAATTTGTTCCTTTTTGGATATGCCAAGTTCGTTGGCATTTTTCCAGTGCCGCAGGACCCAACCAAAGGGAGTCAAAGGAGGAAACCAAAGGTGTACACCGTGGCCGGAATAACTCTATACTCTAGACTTCCACGCCCTGAAAACCTTGCAACACAAAAATAGAATCACAAGTCATAAGTCATTTGGATTCTTAATTTAGCCATATTTGGGTCCTGATTGAAGAAGTCAAAGAAACTACTAGCGACCTCATACACCACGACATCTTCCTCCTAGCAACCGCGCCTTCTCGCCCTGTTGCCGTATCTCCTGGAGCTCCGCTTGTGCACGTTCCAGCTGATCCATGATATTGTTGTACTTCACCTGCACCCACCAAACGACTACGCGCAGAACACCACGGCTTGGCCTCCAGGCTGAACCATTCCGGATCCACGAGAAGGGAGCGTTCTATAGGCTACCACGACCATTCTGTCTGGGAGTCCTGGCTGGACTAAGCTACACCACTTAATAATCTCCATTGGACAATCATTGGATGCTCCAGGTAGAGGTTTAACCTCTGAGGGATTTCCCTGTCTAATACGTACCCAAAAACACTGTTAACCTGATAGAAAACGAGACCTCTGACTTGCCAAACACTCAAAGGTTTTTACCAAACCATGTTTCTTTAAGACAATGATGATGGGTATTCAGTCACCCAATCCCAAAGGTGTTCAGTCATTTCCACTCCAACAGCTTCAGGAATGCATTTCAATACAATCTGCTTCCATGTTGTTTCCTGTGGCTGAGAATGCGCAGACTCTTCAAAAAAAAACTCGCGGATGGGTCTTGGATGGCCAAATGTCCACACTTTGTTCACATGGTTATGTGACATGTGGTTATGTCTTGGTCGGAGAGGGATCGGAGTGGAACCCAGTGTTCCCACCCATCACATCTAGTCGTTGGGAACAAACCTACTGTTGTCGTCTTGCGGGGTTAGACCCACAGAACCTCCTGTTCGGTCCTGTTAGGTTGAAGAGACCGAGAGAATTCCAGCACGGAAGCAGGAAAGCACCTATATAGATACGACTGATACCACACAGTTTTCTCTTGGTTTCACGCAAAGTTGCTGCTGTCCATTCTTGTCCACCTCTGGATTTTCGTGAGGGAATAAAGCCTTTTCAATTCATCATCCTCGTAGCTCGCCTGTCCTGACCGACCCCACCAAAGCCAAACCAAGGCGCTGTAACTAAGGCTTCGAACCAGGCTTTGAAGGCCTGCCGAGGTCGTGATCCGGTTGGAGTGGTCGGGAAGACGGAGCGAGTGATTAGCGACGTGTCCCGCAATAAGTCATGAAAACCTCTTTGGAGTCCCAACCATTGACCCCTTCACAGGTCCTGGAGTCCCGAGCCAACCAGGGGATCAAGTTCGGTCACTTGGAAGAACCAGGAACCGGTCAGTCTTTTTGCTCCATGTCGCCACACGCGGTCCCAAGTCCCAAGGACTGAGAAAGCCATGGCCAGATGGTCTGGAGTCTTCAGGTAAGCGTAAAAGGGGAGCTGAACATGATGTTCTTGAAGTTCCAAATGCTACTTCACAAACAATGCCCCGATGTCCAAGTCCAAACAAATCTGGGAAGATGGACTCGCGACACCAAGCCACTCGTGATCATAGCAGAGTTGCCGAGTGTTGTGGATTGGAACCACTACGGCTACAATACAAGGAGACGAGAACGAAGTGTAGATTGGGTGCAAATGTTTTTCTGTGAGGCCGCCACCGCCCAAAGAGGAGTCGTCGGACATTGCAGCAGCCAAAACTGAGTTAGTGCCGCAGTAGCCCGTCAATTCGCCACGCATGGCTGTGGCAAAGTCCTGGACTGCTGTCAGGGAACCCATCGTTTCTAATGTTCAGCACGTCGGCCACCGCCAGGGTGATCCTGGCTTCCCATGAAACAAAGGCCTTAAAACAGCCATGGTACTTGAATTGATACGTCAAGTGGCACAACACGCCCAAGTAGGAGTTGAGGAGCTTTGAAAACAGGCTGCAACCAGCTGAGCCATCCGACAGTTACACTTGATCGTGATGCCAAAACATCCTCTCAAACCAAATCAAACCAAAACACCAGGTCAATCGCGGCGCTGGGATGCTCTGAAATGCTTTTTGCAAAACGCCTTAAGTTGCTTCAACCTCCAGTGTTGTCAACTAGTCGTCGAGCCACAATTGCCGCCACGCACAACGGCAATTGGGGGGGCGCAGTATCTGACCCCCAATGGGTGCTCCACCCCTTCAGTGAGCTTCAGCGAACCTTCTCGCGTCTGTTCGGGCTGCCGGGGTGCCCATTTTTGTGTCCTCCATCAGCAGTGAAGCCCAGTCAGTGTTTGGACTGCTTGGTCTCTTGGCCTCACTCTGTCGCAGCGACTGCACTGGAAAAACCTCTGTCGCCTCGAAACCACAAACGAGGCCACACGGCATCCGTCTGTCGCCTCGACTCGACCTCTGGGTGCCGTTTTTTAATAGGAAGAATGCTTGGGCCAATGGTGTGGGAGGAGAGGCATATAATTAGAGAGGTGGGTGTTATATAGTGGGCGGTAGGGCTGTCACATGCTTAAGAACATCTTAAAACACATCGTAGTTTACGGTGTTGTATGTATGCAATAGGTTCGAATCACAGTACAGCGCACATGTTTGTTGGAAAACAATTGGAATCACAAGGAATTGCAAAGGAACATTAGAAGATGTTAGAAGGAATTTGAAAGGGCATGAATATTAGGAATTTGAACAGGCAATTCAATAATACCTTTAAAAAATGAAAAGCGTTGGCATTATTGCAGGGGGTGTTGATACTATCAAACTCGTACGAAAGCAAACGCGCAAACATTAATTGAGGAAAAACACATGGAACAATGTAGACATTAATCCAGGGGGTGCTATCGTTAAAGCCAAAAAGGGCATACATTATTGTAGAGGGTTATGTTATTCAAGATGTCTATTGTACTGGGCAACCCCCAAAGGAAACAAAAGGAGTTGAAAAGGAGATCAAAGGAATCAAAAGGAATCTGTATAAAGGAAATCAACTGGAATCCAAAGGAATTTAGAAGGAAATCAACTGGAATCAAAAGGACCTCAACAGGAATTTAGGAGGACATAAATGGAAAACATACATACTGCAAATATAGGGGATTAGAAAACCATGCGTTCAAGACGCAGGCTTGAGGTCAGATCCCAAACCTGGGCTAGAGCTCTTCATGAAGTGCAGGTCTGCGGGTGCCCAGCCTGAAAAGCACAAAATAAAACAATTTTCTAGCAGAGCATCCAAGAGACAAGCAAACAACATCGCAAAAAAAATAAACAATCTTCCAGATACTTATGAAGGATAATATATTGTTTCTGTTGTTTGTGATGGTCTTTTGTTGGAAAATTGAAGCTTTTTGTGGATTGGTTTGGTTTCCGAATCAAAGGTAGATACATTTTCTGATGCATTTTGCACATGTTTGAAGTGGGCAGCAAATGCAAATCATGCAACACGTGCATCTTACTGGGGTTGGCACATTACACTGTTGTTTAATGCATATTATCAAGATATATCAAGATACATTTACATCCTAGGAGCACCCCTTCTGTATAAATATACCTCATAGACTTTGTAGAGATCAGCATATTTGCCGGGTGGCAAAATCCGCCCGCACCGAAGGTGCGGAGGCGTTTTTATAGGGCACGCGGTATACGTAAGCTAGCCTGGGCAAGCCAATAGCTTTAGCTAGGGGGGGGGGCATTTTCGCTCTAGAATCCTGTGTTTTTTCACGTTTTTGGAACCGGCTTAAAATGCTGGAAGATGAATTCGTGCTATTTTGAAGCCCCTGGTGATGCAAGAAATGCAATTTTCTTCCTTTGCATGATTTGAATCATCTGCGCGGTAAAGTGTAATTGGACTGAGGCCGGACATTTGGCTGAACAGGCTCCCCTAACGTGGCTCAACATAGCTTCCATATTGCCTAACATAGCCCTAGAAGTCACTATCTAACGGACGTGTCTGCGAGATAGGGACTTGAACGCAAAACATGGCCCAACGAGGGCTCAAAAGGGACTGGAATAAAGTAAAGAGATTGCCTAACATAGCCCTAGAAGTCACTATCTAAAGGACGTGTCTGCGAGATAGGGACTTGAACGTCGTAAACATAGCCCAACGAGGGCTCAAAAGGGACTGGAATAAAGCCCCCCCCCAACGTGACCGAACATAGCTTCCATATTGCCTAACATAGCTTTAGAAATCACTATCTAAAGGACGTGTCCGCGAGATAGGGACTTGAATGTCCGGATATTTGGCTCCACGTTGGGGGGGGGGTGACTTCTGGGGCTATGTGCCATGGAAGTACCTACCTTGACCCGTTCCTGGAGCATGACTGCAGTCTTTGAGCCCTCCCATGCGGTGCGGGCGGTTACCGTCGCGAAGCGACGTGAATATCTCCGGAAAACCTTGCGCTTGCTCTTGACACACAACCCCACACACACACACCTACTGATGAGCCTTGATGAATCTTTCCCTCGCCGACTCTCTCAACTGAAAAACTTGTTTGCTTGAGACACGCATCTCAAATTTTGTGCAACCAACACATATGTAAATCATAAATCCATTAGCTGTATGCATTCAAGACTGTAGAGAAGTTTAGACCTAACAATAGCGTTGAAGACTTGTATTTTCCATTTGACACTGGTGTTAGCTTTTGACCAGAATATCTTAAGCCTGTTACACGTTGCTATGCAGTCGCTCAGTCTATTGGAGATCTCTGCCCGGTTGTCAAAGGAGTCCGACAACAGGGTGCCGAGATATGTAGCAGAGCTTTTCCGTGGAACCTTGGTACCTTGTGCTGGGCCATTCGGAGCGAAATGAACGGAGGATTGCAGTTGGTTAGAGGTGAGATTTACGCATTTGTCATAGTTCAGTGTTAACCCAAAAATAATATGCAGAATGTCGTTCGATAGCATGTAGTAGAACATTAATGCAATGAGGGTGTAATCTAATGTAATTAATCTTTTAAAATTGTCACTATAGTGACTATAAACTTGATACTACTGCTGATATATCTCGACTCAATGCCTTTCAAAACAAATCTCTCAGAAGGATCTTAGGTATCCCTCCAACGTTCATTGATCGGGAACAAACAAACGCTCGAATGTACGCTAGCATCCAGCAGGAGCATGGATGTACTTTTGAACCTTTCGGGCAGACATGGAAAAAAGCAAAGTGCCGCCTATTTGGCCATATTTTGAGGGCACCTAGGTCGGATCCGCTGGTCCAAGTCGTTCTTGAATTTGACGGTGTCACACCTAAAACTCCGCTTTTTCGGAGACCAGGTAGGCCCCGAGCAGATTGGGTTGTTGAAACTTACAAGGATTCCTGTTCTTTTCTTTTTGGACCCCACACTGTTTTTGATATTTCGGACTACCAACTTCTTTGTAACATCAAACAGGCCGCCATAAATAGAACTGGTCCTTTTGCCACACGCTTATGATGCATGGGACTGTGCCGAGTCCCAAAGGCTTTCGAGCCTCTCATGGTACTGCTCTTGGTACTCTCGATTATTGTGCTGTCTGATGCGTAGTGTATTTGCATGGTCGGCTGGTTTCTATCTTCTTGTACTTTTGGTGGAGTGTTCTGTTTCACCTATTTCTTTCACAGCTCTGCAAGCTTTGTAATTCCATGTCTCTATTGTTTCTTTCCTCCTTTCGCGTGGCTGTTGGGAGCCCATTTGTGCTCGCGAGAAAAACAAATTACACCTTCGATTTGTTTTCCACAGGGCAGTCGACCCTACGATAGACGAGGGTGGTGAATGCTTCAAGCTTCAAACAAATGGAGCTCGGTTTGCCTGCAGTTCGAGGGCCAACCGAATCACAGGAACATCGCTCCAAACATCCAAAGCTCTAAGAAAAAAACAAGGTCTATACATGTACAGCAAATCAGCCCCGTTTTTTCCGTGAGAAGAGTGGACAATGCCACAATGTTTGCCTACAAATCAAGATTCAGATTTCGATGTCCATGCTTTCTCAAGTCAGCTAACAAGTCACCAAAAAAAACACTTCGGCCACTTCTAGCCATGCATGTACATTCCCATGGCCACCGAAACCATGTTTTCGAGGCACCAAGATGGAACGAAGCTCCACTTATTCAAGTGATCCTAAACCCCAAAACCATGTTCCGAAGGACCAAACACCTGGTGTTGGAGCCATCAACCGGCCCTACCAAACTTCGGAGCACCCCAAGTCAGTCGCCCCGAACCGACCGCTCGCCTTGGCCAGCTGTTGGACGCGATGTCGTTCTGACTCCTCGCGGGAGGAGAGCGGCTTTTGGTTGGCCCGTGCAGCCGAGGATGGATCCCCCCAAAGTTGGGTGATTTTGGAAGTTGGTTTTGGGTGGTTTCGAAAGAAAGTGGATGTTCTGGGCACCCGTATCCTCCACTAGGCACCCCTTTGGAACTATAGATAGTTATTTGCCTTTTGTTAAAGACTCTATAATACTACTCTATAGCTCTGAGGGTTGTTGAACTGCAGGTCTCCCGCCGGGTGTGCTTCAAAAACGGCGAAAGCCAATTGTGCAATCAATCTATCATTGCATCTGATTCCCAACATCTCCTTCAACCGGAGACTGCACAGGGTGATCGGATCCAACCGTTTGGATCGATTGCCGCGAATGGCGACGCAGCCAACTCACCGATGATCGCATCGTCGCTACATGTCGCTACACTCCCTGAAATCATCATGGACAAATGGTCGTCCAACGGGCCATGGCATCCACTTCCATGATTGTGAGAGTATTTTTGTTGCTGATAGATCTGATAGACCGGCCTCTTTTCAAGATCTACCGCCCTTCAAAACGCTTTAGCGGGGGGGGAAGCCCAGGGTGCAGCTGACCTCCAGGGACCTCCACAGGGCACACCGGGCGGCTGCACCTTCTGGGCCACGAAGCTGCGCCAGCGCCTCAAAGTGAGCTTCACAGCCAGCCTCGCGCAGGGCCAGTGGCCGGTGTAGAACGACCAAACACGGCCAAGGGGTGCATGCATGGTGAATGCAGTGAAAGGAATGGCGGAGTGGAAGCACGTTTCGTTTGTCCTGAAGCACGCTGTCCACTTGGGTCGACCAACTCCGGCCAGAATCAAGGCAAAGGTTCCCCATATATGGCTGTGGGTCAAATCAAAGACACCCCGGGTTGTTGACCAGCGAAAACTACCAGTGAACACCAAATAGACTACCATAAAAAATCAATCTAAACTGGTTTTAGGGCTCCGGGTTCTGACCCACAGCCATCTCACGCTACGTAGTAGACAACCACATCAGAGTGATGTGAATTGTCTATCTGGTGGTTCAAGATGTATGACCCACAAGCCCATCACCAAAAAAACCCACAGTACAACAGGAAATCTGGGGCGGTGGGATTAGCCTCTCGGAAATTGGATCCAGCCACCAAGCCCATCCATGCTCAGCACACATCAAGCCGTCCCATGCGCCACCAGGCGCCACCAGGCCTCTTCTCTGTAAAGGAGGTCATGGTCATTAACGCGCGCCCAATCTTGCCCCAGGCCCTGTGGTACCTCAGGGACGCGTGGGTTCAAGGACGCAACTGTAAAAGCTCCATGGAGACTCTGATCATTCAATTAGCAATCTTCGCCAGGCCTTCATCTTCCTTCATCGTCTTGTGAGGAGACAAAGCGATGTTCACTGCAAGAAAAAGAAACGAATCCCAGACCCACATGTCCAATGAACTTTCTATGAAGGGAAACGATCTTCAACAAAAACATGATTCTCATCATCCACGATTCCAAACTCTCCATCTTCACCTGGAAACCCCTACGCAAACGATCCAATTCGGCGCTTCGTACTGTGGAACACACGGTGTCCCACCGGCCTGGTCCGGGAGACACTGGTCGTCCGTCTGTCTTTGCGTTTCGTCGGAAAAACCGACACCAACAAGAGTTGGGCTCCAAATCAGGGCCATCCTGTCGAAAGATCCTGGCTGGACTGTCCAGCCCACTATCCGGGATCTCCAGCCACACCCAAACGGTCTAGGAATGAAGAAAAGACCATATGGAGTTCGGGTGGCAAACATGCAGACCCGATCCTTGTCCCCGAAATCCGTGGTGCGGGTCCATGCATTCCACCAAAACACGGCCCAAACGTGGACCTGGATTCCCCGCAAAGACCTGGAGGAGACCACTCAGGTCCACCTTGTCCGGACGATTTGATCTGAGACAAAGGTGAGGTTCAATTACGGCCACAACTGCTGTTGAATCATGCATGTTCAATATTACAGAACAAGCAGGGCATACTTGCTAGGGGTTCAAAAACCGGTAGAATGGGCCAAAGATGTCAACACCCCCAGCCTTGGTGTTTCCCGAAGCATTCTTGTGATTCACGTGAAATCGGCTTCGTACATGGGTCAAGAGTCAAAAGCTTCATCTGCCACAGGCTCTTCAAGAAACATATTTCGGAGTTGGTGGCCCCTTTAAATATACCATTTCTGTCCGTCCACGTCGGACGAACACGACCTCTACAGATCCCCTGCGTCAGTCGTCAGGACGGCGTCTTGGGCGGACACGTTGACTCGTCACGGTGTCTTGGAATGGTCCCGATGTTCTGACCCGCTCGACACGTGTTTTTCCTCGCGAGAGGCAAAAAAAAGGGACTCCCTCAGAAATCCCAGTCAGCAGCCATGTTGGCGCAGTGAAACGCTTTCTTATACGCTATCACCCCTGGTATTCCAGGAGCCTTCCGAAACGGATCAAACCCCAAACGCTTGGGTGGCGAAAGGCGGAGCTGCAAAATCATATGAAATGTTTGGGGGTTGGGAAGGGTATTCAAAAACTTCACGCGATGGTATTTAAAAGCAGTTGAAAGGCAAGAGATGTCATTAAAACCAAACCTATGAGCACTTTAGCACTAGTCTCGTTGCAAACAGAACAAAAACACAACCTATCTAGAGATAATAAGAGCATTGTCTGGGTTCCAATCGGGCCATACCTGCCTTTGGGTGCATGTTGTTTTGCAGGTCTTCAGATTCTTTAGCATGTTTGGATATGTTTGGCACTAGATATATTCCCAGCAGAAGCTTGTTTGTTTTCTCAAGACACATCAACCTAAGAAAAACCAGGTATAGCACGTTCAACCAACATGTCTGTCTCTACATGTCCATGTCTCTACTGTCTCTACTACTATTGGTGCCGCACAAAAATCAGGTCTGTCCGTTCCGTTCGGTCGTCCAGGACGGCCAGTGCGCAGCCCCAGGGACGATGGACACGTGTACCTTTTGGCAAATGACGTTGCTCGCAAGTGTCGAGAAACATTTTTCTTGGAAAACGGCCGTGGCAAAGCAGCCAGGTCCTGAGGTCCTGTGCCCAGGTGGCAGTTTGACACCGCCGTGGATCTGCTAGCTGGGGCACTTTCCAGTCTAAGCAAGACACTCAAAATCCCTGAGTCAATAACGAGTCAAAGCCTGATGTCCATCTACAGTAGCTCTTGGAACTCTCACCTGAACTCCACTGTCGACCGGTGGAATGACCGTCCGATGTGATCGGTCGCTTGAAGGACCCCGCCCCTTCATAAACCTGAGAGAAAGGGAGTCCCCACAGTCGAGAAATGTGTGAACAAGTAGATGGGGATACGGAGCGCGCACGAGGTCAAGAAACAAGCAGCAAGTCAATCCAGTTTGGACCCTCTGTGAAGAAGAGGTCGGAAAGAGCTGAACATGTGCAAAAGTCCTCAAGTACCACTTCCCTGTTTGAGGATCCACCACCGTCACCTGTCTCTCTTCTGAGACGTCGGGTCCAAAGACCCGGACGAATCCAGACCTGTGGGTCTCCGAAGAGAGAACCATGACCTCTCAGAAGGTGGTGGATGCGTTGTCTGACGGCTCTTCTTCATAGCTTCTTTTTCACCCCCACCGACGAAGGTTTGGAAGAAAGATAAGAAAGAGGAAGTATGTACCAGGACCTTCAGTGACCAAATATCCTGGGATGAACCCTTCGTGTGCGCGAGAGGTGAACATGTTTTACAATCCCAAAAAGGGGTGTTATTCGTCAACAGTGATAAATGTATATATGGTCGATCTTCTAGATATGAATGGATTTCTCTGAACGCTTGTAAACATTAGGTCTTCACTGTCGAGACATGCCGACCCTTTCATATTGATCATGAACAACTTTCCCGGATCTTCCAACTATGCAAATGTTCTGTCTGTTCGTCCATGAAACCAGCCAAGTTTAGCGGACATGTTGCACAGATCTACGTTGTTGTGACGCTGCAACTCTGAACGACTCTGAACAATCATGTGTACAGGTTTCTAGTGGATTGTGTTTCTGAATTGATTTTGTTCATGTATTTGGTTGATCACTTCAGGCTTTGTTTAACAACTTAATCATGAAACCACTTCCTTGCACCAGAACAAACATAGCCAACCTGAGTGAACAAATAGGGAAACACAAGTGACACCGAAAAGGACAAATGTGCACAACCGTCACCAGTTCCCGGACCTGACAGCTGACTGGAAGTACTGTAGACTTGCTGGACAGTCCCATTCAACAAGAGGGGCACAAAAGGAACAAATTTTAAAAGCACTTTGCCTTGGTGCTTTAACTGTTACCAGTTTCAAACTAATATTTATGTCGTTTTAAGTATATAATTATGTAGGTACACCTTCTTTGACAAACCTCTTTTGTTCATTTGACACAACATTTAAACATACTTAAACAATATCTTACCTTGGATAAATCATGGCGGACAACGGCGGATTGCCAAACCGCCACGGGCATCTGACAGCTCTGCGCACGCTAAAGAAGTGGTCTGCTAGCGCTAGCAGAAGAAGCGCGCTCAGTAGAAAGAGATTCGAGCCCAGCCGGCTCTGACTCTGATCACCACTCCAACATTCCTCAGATTTGCCGCAGATTTGCGCATGAACCCCTGTTGATGCGCATGTCCAAGTACACTGATGAGTCCTCACCCCATCCAGGTGTGTTTCACCGGGGCCATGAACAACACCTCGGCCCGCCAGCGTAAGCAGGAACCCCGTCACGGACGGGTCGGAGGACACACACCACGGACGGTACGGCCGGACCAGTGAGGATTGGGTCGGAAAGAGGAGCTTCGAAGGTAGAGTGAGGGATTGAAATTCAAATGAAAGGGGTGGAACAAAGGCAGAACATATTATTAATTGTTGGGCGGGAGTGTCGAACGCAAAAGGGTCCGCACAGTTGCACAGAAGGTGAACAAAACCAAGCTGGAGCAAGTTGATAAGAGGTAAACCTTCTTTTCTCATGCAGGATAAACCATCTTGTCACCGGGTCAAACCTCAAACCCCCACCAAACTGTCCCACAGCCCGACGTGCAAACCATTCGCACAACAAAGGCTTTTCGGCGTTGGACCGCAGAACTCAGGCCCTCGGTTGTGACTGAGGTGAAGACCTATCCAGAAACGAACACACAAACTTGATTTGCATCCACCGACTCCAACTTTGACTCCTGAAAATCGCAATTGGATGAAGAAATTCAAGATGTGACACCATGTAGATGTTCCAAGCGTCTTTATGCATCTTGGTGTTCTTCAGCACGCTTCTTCAGATCTTTCTCTTCCCAATCCTTGTCTTCTTTCCAAGAGCCTTCCTCAGATGCGAGGACAAAAAAAGCTGCAGTCACACTCAGCTGCACGTGACAAAGATCCCGAAAGAACCTGAACCCGCATTTGTTTAGGGAACCTGAGTCTATGAACCCTGTTCCACCGTTCAAACAGGTTCCAAGGGACAAGACAACACTGACCACTCTTCTTCTTGAATCTGGGGACCCAATCCTTCGAAAGCGGTCCTGGATCCAGTTTTGACATGTGACATGACTAAATACTGATGGTGCACACATGGAGTACAAACCTGGCGAAAAAATCACTGGGGCGTTCAGATTTCATAGTTCAGATTTGACATTGGACATCCTCTAGAGTTTGCGAGGAAAAACGCATCCTCGAAAGAATGATGTGTTGTTTGACAAGACTCTCAACAAGTAGACATACCGTAGACATACCAGGGCCTAATATGGCCTCATGACTAGAAACATATAGACCGTACTGTCGCAGACCGTGACCGTAGACCGTGACCGTAACTCACCGTGACCGTTTTCGGTCCTCCACCTTTCATCAACGGCACCAGGCCAAGGGGGCGGCACCAATGGGGAAGAGTTCCGGGGGGGGAAACCGTCATGACATCCTGCATATATACCTGCATGCATACTGCAGACCCATGATCCCCAAAGAAACACTAGGTCTCAAAGCACTCCACTCCCGGAGGCCGCCATGAAGCGGTTCGAGGTCCAAAGGGAGCTGCTTTTGGGCCAGCGACTACTCCCTTCATTCATGACATCACCCTAAGGACCTCTGAGCGCCTTCGGCTCGGGGCTTTCTTTGCTTTCCTAGTCTCGAAGTGGTGCTCGATCAAGGGCTTCTTGCCCTCCGGAGGGTCATCGCTGGCGACCTGGGGCGAAGCATTCACACGCCCCGCTGCGAAGACCCACATCTTGAAGGTGCCATCGCCTCAGTCGATGGCGACGTTCCTGGAGT